AACATGAGTGATGTTTGCAATATGTATTAAAAATGTATTATAAGTGTGTCACCTAAATTATTTTAGTTGATATCATTAAAAGGGGAGTGAAATTCGCAATATGTATTTTAAATGTATTGTTCATGATTTTAATACAATTATGAAACATATCTAATACAAACGAAAGAGCAGTCAATGATTCGTAGACTAAATAAAACTTGTATCAATAATTAATTAGACAAGTAATTTAATCGTAAGAAATGAAGAAACATAATAAACTGCCAAATGAATTAAACTTGAATTAAAAAGTATTACACACATATTAAAGTTGAATTAAATATAAATGGAAACTAATCACAAATTCATAAAATTCAAATAATGAATTCAAAATTTGAAGCTTTATAATAACCATCAATGGTGAACTTTTGCTGTTTTAATTTTAGATATTTGAAATTTCTGCTTGAAAACTTAATTTTGTACAATTTTTTGGTCTTTCTGTTCCTTTTATCATCGTATTTTCGGGTGAAAATTGCAAATTATGTGTAAAAACTGATTAGAGGAGTTCTTTAGATGGAAATTTGAAAGAAGAAGAAGAATAAAATGAAGAAGAAGAGGAGGAAGGTATAGAATGACACAAAAAGAGACGAAGAAGAAAAATAAAAAGAAGCAAAGGAGGAAGAGAAAAAAAAGGGCGGAGAAAGAGGCAAAGCGAATATAGACTGTACAATTTTGTAATTTAAAAAAATTATTATATTTAGTTAGAAAAATTATATTGCTATAGATGGTAAATATTTTTTTAATATAGCATATTTATGTGATTTATCCAAAAATAAAACCCGTTGCAATAGAATTGGGCTTTGATCCACCCGGCCCTTCTATGAGCTCCATTCAATTTGGGGTACAACCCGTAAAGAAGAAAGAACAGAACTGTTGAACTGGTAAGGAAATTCATAGAAGCTCAAGAACAAAAACCCTCCTTAAACCCTAACGCGAAGAAAATCGATATGAATCAATCTCTTGCAAGAAGTGTTTATCTCTGTTCCCGCAGTTTGTTAATGCCGAATCCTTACCCTGCTACCTCTTCATTTTGGCCCAGCTATAGACGTTTCACATCCAAAAGCTCAAATCAACCTCCTGCTGATGCCCCTGATAGCAACAACAATAACCTTCAAGACGAAGACGATATCAGCAATAAAGGTGTGATTCTTACAAAAATCAATCTTCATTAGTTGTATTAGATCCGCAAATAAGCAGTTATATTAGCTTGTTTCAATTGCTGAAAATTTTGATTTTGCGCACTCAATAATCGGGGAAACTTCGCTGTATTTCTTCCTCCTTTTGCCGGTAAATTTGAGTTTACTAACCATATGATTTGCTGATTCTGGAGAAAGATCTCTAATTTATACCAAAATAACTTCCAGTTTCAGCAGAAATTAATTAAATAGTACTCCCTCCGTTTCACAAAGAATGACCTCTTTCCTTTTTAGTCAGTTTAAAAAAGAATGACCTCTTTCCTTTTTTGGTAACATTTTACTTTTTGCTTTCCACGTGGCATGTTTAAAACCACAAGATTAAGGGCAATTTTGTACATTTGACATAACTTTAATTTAGGACCACAAGATTCAAAAGTCTCTTTATTTACTTAAACTCCGTGCCAAGTAAAATCAGATCATTTTTTATGAAGCGGAGGGAGTAGTATTTTTTTTTAGCTCTATGATTTTATCCATCTCTAAGTCATACTGTATAGACTAAATTTCATTGCAATTGAGATAAACTTGGAGAATTTTTTACTTTACTGAGTTTCGGATATAGGATTGAAACAGGGATTGATTTCATATTCAAATTTGGAGTTGATTTCTTGTTCCTATTACAGCGCTGAAAAAGCAGATAGATAAGTTTTTTGAAGGAGATGAAGAAGCATTCCCATCAATATTTGAAGCCATATTGAAAAGAAAATTGGCTGGAAAAAGTGAAGAATCTGATAAGGAATTGATGAATGAACTTCAGGCTCAACCTCGTCGACAGAATGATGCTGCCAATAGAGAGTCTGACTCCGATTGAGTTAGATTACGACAAGTCTACCTATATGAGTATTGTTGATTATACATTGATGAGAATACAAGATGGTGGATCCATAATTGTCATGGAGTGAGTTGTTACGAGGATTAAACGTTTATGTATTCATCATTCCTCACTGTAATTTTATATTTCAATAGCTAGCAGATTCATTTTGGATCAACAGAAAGAATTTCTATCTGAACAACTTGTGAAGTTGGAAGCATAGGTGTCCAATCAAATCTCAATCAACAACATACCCATTGTAATCCTACAAGTGGGGTCCTGGGAAGGCGTCTAATCAATCAATGAAGTGGAAATAACTGTGGGATACAGGATTTGGATCCAATAGAAATAGAAGAACGCCTTTTTTTCTCTTTTCATCTGGCTAAGTTGTAGTGAGCAAAATTATGTTTGTTTGAAGTTTGGATGATTTAAACACTATGTGCTATAGCCTCTAGATGATGCATTTGTGACCCATGGATGACATGTTTTCTGAGTAAATTTCATTATCCTCTTAACCTTCCAGTGTAAGAAAATAATACCTTCCTCGCCTTTTAAATGTTGAACACTTTGTAATATTAATTCTTTGTACCTTACCTATGCATTACTAGAGGTTATCTTCAGACTGCTTTTGAAGTTCCAGAGCACACTCTATCTTTGTTTCCTCATTCTTCTGTGCCAAGAATGATCCAATTGAATCAATTCTGAGGCTGATATGTCCGCCTCCCCCACCATCTTCACCGTGTTATTGGAAGTAACCCACCTTCTGGTTGGCTAATGCTATGTTGTGGCTGCACTATTTCAAGTTTGCGGTAATTTTTAAGGGTTGATCGAGGCTGCTTTGTTAAAAGATCTTTCAAGCCATCTTTCTGGTGTTTGGATGCCTATAATGATGCTAAAGCTTTCTTTAGTCATATGATTCATGAAGCTCTTTCATGGGCTTAAATATTGTTAAGGGGATGGTCGAATTCAATTATCAAGAGGTGCTCAGAGCAACTGATTAGGAAAAACTATTACAGAAACAAAATCATTTGTGTTATAAATACATCATATTATGGATGTCCATATAAATGCATAGTTTTTGAATAAGCTTGTAATCAAACAGTCAATTTACAAGTAGTTCGAGCAAATAACTTATAAGTAGTTCAAGCAGATAACTTGCAAGCAACTTAATCAAGCAATGCATGACTTAATCAAGCAAGAGGTGTCATAATGCATTGGTGAACTTCTCTTTTTACGAGCAGCTTTTTTTCTTTCTATAAATAGAAATCAATTCAATTCATTTATATATAGAAGTTCACATTTGAATAATATACTTGTGTCGAGTGGATATACTAAGTACTAATTTTTTATTTTCCTATTTTTTCTTTTACCTTTTAGCAAAGTAAAGTTTGGTTAAAAAAAAACACAAATATTTTTGTCGTTCCAATGTTGAAGTTGCCTGGATCTAATAACTGAGAAAACAAACCCTGAAAGGCAAAACTGTAACAGAGAGACGCTAAAACCCTAAACCATGAGACGAGCTCTTTCTCTGTGCTCCCGCAATTTCCATTTCTCTCAAAACTTCAAATCAAATCCGAATTATTTCAACAGCAGCAGCAGTAGCAGTAAAATCATTCATCGCCCAGTTGTTCCTTCAAAGATTAGATTCTTCTCTTCATCAGAAAATGATTCTTCATCGAATCAGAACACCCCTGAAACAAGCCCTCACCCGGAGACTAGCTTGAATGAATCCACCGAAAAAGAGGTCTCTCTCAATGTTGAAGAGGTCTCCCTCAATGTTGAAGATGTCAACAATAAAGGTAAGTACTTGGCGATCTGCAATGAGTTTAGTGGCGATTATTTGTCAATTCTGAGAAAATTGGGTGGTGGGGTTAATTTAGTCTTTCGTTTTTCTCCCTAAAAATGTTTGGACGAAGTTAGGTTTAATGATTTTGCTGATTAATGAGAATATGTACTGGATCTCTCTTGCTATGATTGATGCGGATTGCTGACAATAGAATATTGGAGAAAATTTAAGTAGTAGAATTTTGGGTCTTATTTTACTGTCGTCTCTAGGTTTGTTGTTCCAACTAAAATGCCCTCAGATAAAAAAAAGATTTCTTTTTTCAACTTTCTTGGTGTTCTGTCAATGGAAATCCCTTTATGACACTTTCTTTTGTGGTGTGTTAGACAATTTATAGTTTCTTTGGGGATTACGCTGATAGAAGATGGTAGTGAATTAAGATCAGGGATGGTACATTTTATATTTGAATGGGTTTCTTGGTTCCATATTGGGCTATCTCATTTGTTATATCTACTGTAGAGTTGAAGCTGCGGATTGAGGAGTATTTCAACAAAGGCAACGAGGAGGCGCTTCCGTCAATTCTTGAAGCAATTTTAAAGAGGAAATTGACGGGAAAGCATGAACATACAGATGATGAGTTGTTGGAGGAGATGCAAATGAAACCCCTGGATGGTGTAAATGATGAAGAGTTTGAATCAGATTTCGAGGAAGGTCACAGCACTGATGAAGATATTGAGGATTTGTATGATGCAACGGATATTGTGAAAAGGAAAATGGTGACTGATAAGTTCTTCAACATGGATGACAGAAAGTGGGATGATATGATAAAAGAGGCTACTGAGCATGGGCATCTTAAGGATACAAGAGAGTGTGAGGAAATTTTACAGGAGATGCTTAGCTGGGATAAAATTTTACCTGGTACTACTTTTGTATGCTCTTCTGGCTTCTTAATTCTTAACTTCTTATCCCATTAGTAGAAAATGAATTCTTTTGCATCATGATGTTACTTTCGACTAGGCTTTAAGCTTATAAAAGGTCCAGCCCCTAGTATCTCTTTGTGTTTTATAATGAGCTTCTTGCAAGTGAAAATTTTAATTGTCTGTTGAACTAGGAAAGGTGCCTACGCGTAGCTCATAATCATCAGGTGGTCAGCTGTTTGGAAGGTTGCTGGTGCATATATTTTTATCATTCCAAAAATTTACGTCTGTTTCAAAAGAATTAATAAATTGTTGGACTTTTTGGAGCTTTAGCTTAAGGCCTTTCTCCTTGCAGTAAAGAATTCTTTTTGGCCTAGATTAGCCTCATTAGTTTTAGATTTTGACTGGCCTGTGAACTGAAACATCAACCGTGATGACTTTCATGCTATTTTCTGTCTTTTCCTGCAACATAAAAGACACCTATTAAATATAAGGCAGGGATAATATCTGCCAGTTGAAGTGAAAAGATTTCGGCTCTAAAAGTTTTCCGAAGCATGTAGGTGAATAATGTGTATTCCAATTAACAATCAAAAGATAATATCTGTGCTCCAATTCAGCAATACTGCTGATAATGTCCGAACTTAAATCGGCACAGGGGTGCGATTTCCTCAATAAATTTTCTAGTTCGATAAATTTCATTTTCTAATTCCTTCCCTGTTAGGTTTATAAAATTGTAGTGGTGGAAAAAAAGAAGGGTTAAACTTCAAAGAAAGTGTGGCAGGAGCAATGAAAAAGTAAGTTAAGATTTCTTGATCGAGCAAATTACATCTTACCTGGTAACAAAATTCTTTCAACTCATCAGTCAATTATAATTTCGTCACTAGCTAATTTCTCTGATAGCTTGTATGGAGTAATTATAAGCTTTATTACATTTACATAATGTTGTTCCTTTAGGACACTATTCAAACTTGTCTTTTACAGGATATTAGAGTCAGTTTTCAGTGATCTGTTTGATGTCCCAATCAATTATTTGGATTCTTGACTCATTGGATATTTTATCTTTATCCAGATGAAATTAAGAAGAAGGTGGAAGTTAAGTTTGATGAGATAGGTGAAAGGGTTGAGAAAGGTGAGATTACCCCTGAAGAAGGCTATGCGTTGTTCAAGGAGTTTGAGGATGGGGTGGTCGTGGAGTGCGCAAAACTGATGGAGAAGGATGCTCCACAGTTTGATGGGACTACTTTGCCAGATGACAAAAAGGATTTGGATGATCCACCAGGTGAAGGGCCAGTTCTTAGATGGCTAACAAGGGTGGTCTTTGCTCCTGGGGGTGATGCATGGCATCCAAAAAACAGGAAAGTCAAATTGGCTGTTACAGTGAAAGAGCTGGGTATGTCAAAGCATCAATTTCGTCGCTTAAGAGAATTGGTCGGAAAACGGTACCATCCTGGGAGAGACGAGCTAACCATCACTAGTGAAAGGTAAGGTCACATTTTGGGTGTATCTAAATTACAAGTATCTGGTCTTGTTATGGGGTCTTGATGTATGTTTCGGCTTATTTTTCAACCGAGCTTTATTAATGTGTAACTATTGTTGAAACAATTAGTTGGAAGTATTTAACTGCTGCTTATTGGTGAGCTACACTGGCGTTTGAAGTTTGGGGAACTTACAATGAATAAAATGTTTATTTTCACTCAGATTTGAACACCGCGAGGAGAATAGGAAGGACTGCTTGAGGACTCTATTTGCTCTCATTGAAGAGGCTGGAAAGGCTAACAAAATTGTAGAGGATGTTCGAACCTCGTATGTGAAGCAGAGGCTCAAAGCAAATCCTGCATTCATGGAAAGGCTGCATGCAAAAACCATGAAATTGAAAGAATCTAGTTCACTGCATGCATGACAATAAGCTGTTTGCAGCTGGCATTTTCTTGTAGAAGATAAACGCAAGGTTATTGATGTGCCTTCTCATTGACATTTCAAAACATTTTTCAACATTCACAATTAGTACAGGTTTGCAAGGGGGCATTCTTACATGGTCTGGTGCAAAAGAGTTGCCACTTACTTTTGGTGGCACTGCTATGTATCTTGTTCTCAAAGCATATGAAGAAGATTAGGATGACAAGGGTCAAAGACAACGGGAAACCATGTCAAGAGATGACCGTTTGTACTTTAACTGCTGCTTCTCATCCATCCCCTGCTGAAAGAGGATGAAAATAACTGCTGTCTCTTCTTTGAGAGTAGTCAAATTACAAACTTTACCCTTTCAAGCTGCTTTTGCTATCTTAGTTCTAGTCCATTGTCTTAAAGTCCTCTAAGTTGTCTGCTAATCTAGGTTGGTAGTGTGTGAACCGTGACACTTGTTGTTTGGGATGTGAGTTTTCTGGATGTTGTGCCCCGCATTTTAGTTATTTTTGTCTGTGTAACTTAATTTTCACTTGGGAATAATGGAATTAATTCATAGCTGTATTGTAACTCATAAGTCTGCACTTATAACCCATTCAGGTGAAGAAATTCCTCGTCCATGATGAATCTAACGTTTAGAGGGAATCAACAAATATGTTCCTGCTGAGTAACTGAATCTGAGAATAGTGGTGTAAAGGTATTGATAAACAATGTTAGCTAGGTTCAATCTGTTGACACAAGAAAGTAAAATGGATGCACTACAGAGAAAGCTGTTAGCCTTCGTTTGAACATTTTAAAGTTATGTGCTATGTTCAGACATTCTCATGTCAAATGATTACAAGATAGCCAAACAAAGTAGTAGTATTGATCCTCTTGTCTTGACATGCATGGAGAGTCTGAGCTAGACAGTGAGGCATGAGCAATGATGGTTAAATCTGGAAAATTTAAATAAAAATACTTTTGTCAAGAATGGGATTCGAACCCATGCCCTTTCGGACCAGTACCTGAAACTGGCGCCTTAGACCAACTCGGCCATCTTGACAGTATATTATATTATCCCAATAAATATATATAATAGTATATGAAGTCTGCATCCAGTTACTTAATTTTACATTCTTGGTGGTCACTGGATGATTGTAGCTAAATATACAAGTAAAATAACTCATACTTGTCTGGGAACAGTATGAGCTCTATTGAGTGTAACATTTTTTGGTATTCAATTCTTCTTGTACCCTTTAGTTTGAATGTCTGACCTCAAACAAATAACAGCACTTCATTGATAAATTTGAGCACAAATAAATGAAGGGGAAAAAAAAAGAGTTTTGTAAGGACAGAAAGAAATAAAGCTTGACCCTCCAGCAAAAAAAGAAAAAAAAAGAAACAGTATTAGGCTACTAACTTTGGGGATTCTCTATTACTTTCATCTTTAGCATGATTACAACTTACAAGAGACATGCTATGACAAAAAATACATTCAGGTTGAGGCACATTTAGAACGAGTTTTGTACGTTCAAATGAAATTCATTTATTTTTCGATTGATCTAGAGGTACACATATACTAAAAAGAAAATTAAAACTCTGATTCCACCGACTCTAAATTCTAAATTAGGTGATCATCACGCTCATTCTGAATCCACCGACTCTAGATTCTTAATCTCCTACACATTCAGGCACCACAACCTGCACCGCAGCCTGCTGCACATCCGGTGCCTTCGTAGGCACTTGATTCTGTTGCTGCTGATTTATCTCTTGGCATCCCTTGTGCACATGAAAAGATTACAAACGTTACGGCGAAAATCGTAGCCAAAATTCCCATGAATGTTAGCAAAATATTAGTGCCAACATTTCCAAATCCTTCTCCATCAATCAAAACACTCAATTCCCTTGCCATTTTTTTCCTCTTTAATCTGTTTCTTGTGTTATTCTTTTGGAAGGGAATTGAAGGCAGGGGTGGAGAAGTTATATATAGTTGTTGCAAAGGCCAAATTCACTAAAATTGACCCTTGCTTAATGTCTCTAAAACTTTTCACAATCACAACTTTATTTATATGTTGTGGGTACACACAGCCACTATCAAGAGTTGGATTTTGAGTTTTCAGAATCCCACTCTTCTTTGTCCCTTTCTATGATGTGTGAGAATGAGTCCATTAGTATGACAACTCAATTCCAAATTAAATTACAATTCGCTACATAAATTTTCATCTTTTATTTCTCTCATTCTAGGTTCATAATCGCTTTGAGACTTGACAAATTCAAATTTGCGCCTGAAATAACCCTTACCAAAGATGATTACATCCCAAATTCGAATTTGAGACCTCTTATTCAGAATAAAAAGACACTTACCACCCTACCCCATATAGCCGCTATATGAATTTTCTATTATGCACTATTTGGACCCTTTTCATTCAAGTACTGATAAATTATACTACTATCTTTCAAATGAGAGGTTCTCCAAATCTAACACTTGTCCCTACCAAACTTAGTGTAGTTTAATTATTATAGTACTTAGATCTTAATTTCAACTAATTAGTATTGTTTATATGCTTTGCTTTTCATTGTCTTCTGTCCTTAGCTAAGTCCACTTGGCTTCATGCGATTTGAAGCCTTCCATAATGCATGTAAACAACAACAATAACAACGTACTCAATGTGATCCCACAAGTGAGGTTGGGAGAGGATGAACTATACGCAAACCTTACCCCATAATACGACCATATGGGTGTATTAGAAACAACTTCTCTACCTTGTAGGGATAAAGTCTGCGTACATACTACCCTCCTCAGATCCCACTTGTGAGACTACATTGGGTATGTATGTTGTTGTTGCCAAGTTAATCATATAGTGAGTACATGATTTGCATCAAATTAAAATAATTAATTATATATTTTGCTAATACTCATCTTGGGTAAGTTGTAATAATTAGTGCGATCTAATCGTTAGATTAGTGGAAATTCAAATTAGTGCAATAATTCAGTTATATTTTACTAAAAGAGAACATGCCTACAGAATTTGTCACAAGCTTCATTGTTGAGGTTGATTTAATAAGTAACATGGTGGTTTCCATAAAGGACACACAAACTATATATGTGGAAACATTAAAGTTCTCTTTTTCTATATTTCTCTCTTGGTGTTTATCAATTTAATTAATTTAGTCTTATAATAATCAATAAATTTTCTAAGGCCACCGTGTATGGTTCAAAATTCAATGGATAATGAGTATATTTTTCTATCTTTCTCCACTTAAGTTTTACATCGTGATGTACTCCTAACTCACAACGTGCAACACACTATGCTCCTACTTTTTAATCTGTTCCTTCGCCAGAAATAGAATTCATCAATCGTCAGTGCTTCTGTCACTACTAAAGTCAAATTCTTATCCATTAATTAGTTACAACTTTTTGTTCCTTTTTCCCATTTTTAACTTCACATTCTATCATTGAAATTTTGACTAGTTCTGCAAATACATTTTACAAGGTGTGCTATGGAATTACTGTACATTGATCAAATTGCAAATTACATTATTTTGGATATCCAAGAAAACAACATTAGTCCACTTCCAAAATTTGTGCTTCCAACTTATTTAACCTTTTTCTCTTTGGCTGGTCCTCTGGGAATTTTGCCTAGAAAATCTGCATTAAACTTCCTGTAAGTTTTTCTCATTTGTCTCTTCATTTTATATGCAACATAGTCGACTTCTTCCTCGTATCGCTCGTAAAGAAATGGGAGAGTTTCCACACACAACAAGCCTTGTGAACAATTACAGAGAAGTTTAATTAACATTAATGGATGAAAAAAGAGAGACTTTTGTTCCTAATAGTAGAAAAATGAGAAATAACTAAGTAAACTTACCAAAGAACAAAAGGTTCAAAGTGCTGATATAGTTTCCAATCACTGATAATAAATAGAGAGAAATGATGGCCTAAAACATGAAATTTAGCATTGGTTCACTTATATGTATAATAAATCTATTGAAATGAAGGACATGATTAAGTAAATTATTTGATTCATAATATACCAAAAAGAAGGATTTTGCATCATTTCCACATGCTATAAAGTGACATATGGAGAGGAAATTGTTGAACTTCTTGTGTAATATTGAAGCAACATCAACAAATGAAGTATCTTGTAATATGTCTTTGGGAATGCTTGGAGGTGTCCTGCACATGTTATATGAATAATCAACAAATAATACATATATACAAAGGCGAATGTAGTATATAATCAAAAGGTTCAACTCAACTGAATCCAGTATTTTCGAGAACAAACATACTAAATCAAGATTCTGAACTCATAATTTCGCAAGTGTAATGAGTTTAGTGGTAATAACATAAAAGCTCAACTGATCAAATTTAAATCCTAAATCCGTCACTGTGTGTATATATATATATTCATTCATAGGAAGGGAAAATAAGAGGATTACCAGCCAAAAATATCAGCACCAGCAGACCAGATGAAGACAATTAACATAGTGGTGATGGAAACATGACAAAGCAGAGTCACAAAGGTATAATCCACAACTTCAAAAAGAAACCACATTACTGCAACTGCGATAAGAATCGCGCCTGAAGATCTCTTGTCTCTCCATAACAATATGTCCGCAACTGCAAATTAATTAACCAAAAAAGTCATTTTTGAAAGACAAAAAAGTGAAATCCAGCATTTGAAATGTTATAACAACTTTTCTACTACTACTCATATTAGTAGTAGAGGCAAATTCAGGATTTAAAGTTTATCATTTCCTGTAACGAACTCAAGTCAAATATACGTACAAAATTGAAATTGATACCTTTTCCTCCTCCTAAAACAGAATGAATAGGCCTTTGGCGGCCTAAGAGTTTTGATGTAGGTGTTAAATCATTATCAGAATCAGATGAATAAGTTGCCATGATTATGAAATTCTGATAAACGTCTCTCCGTACGTAAATCGATTATTAGCTAATAAGTTTAAATAAGTCAATTTTGGTACTAAGCTTCGTAGCCAAGAAACTAGAAAAAAAGGGGAAGAAAAGAATTTCTTGAGCATAGAGTTTGCATCTGTTTAACTTTGTATTGCACCTACTGTTAGTGCCCTGCATCTTCTATGCTTTTCGTTTGGCAAACTTTTAGTATCTCATCTTAGACTTTTTTAAGCTTTATGTACATTACATGTGGCTAACAATATGAGTTTCTCACTTAAAATTGCATGTGGCCATGGCTAGATCAAATTGAGAATGAAGGTATCACCTCGACCTTATCTGAGTATCATGAAAGTCACCAAATTATTTTATGTAACTAAAAGGTCACTAAACTTTGCCTAAGTTTTATAAAGAGTCATTAGGAGGAAAAAAAATATGTTACTTAAAATTGAATGAAATTTTAGTTACATAAAAATTATTTAGTGAGTTGTTCTGATTCTTAGGCAAAGTCGAATTACTTTTTGTCACAAAAAATAATAATTTAGTAATTCATTTGTAATACTTGAGCAAAATTGTGTGATTTTAACATTATAAAAAAATTAGTTTGATGAGTATAGTGCAATAAAATAAAAGTTGAGGGACATAGATGAAACAAATTAAACCCCTTTCTCAAGCGGTATCAATGCTACGTAACCCATATAGTTGCACACAATAACAATAACAAAAAATATTGATAATTTGAGATTAATTATTAAATCTTCTTATTTTATATATGCCTTAGACAAATATTAAGAAATTGATTCCCTTTTAGTTTCAAATATTCTACTAATTCTGTTTGAATGAGCTTAGAATTTATAAGTCATTAATTATAATTTTTAATTTATAACTTTTGGTTTATTTGATTTTGGCTAAAATATAAGTTCTTTAAATATTTATTTTATTTTAATCAAACTCTACCAAACTACTTTAATTTTAAACTACCTAAAATAAGTCAATTCAAACCGACTCTTTTAACCTACAAAATAGTCTAGTTGCATTAAAAAAAACTGTTGCTTTTGTTGGCCAATTTGAAGCTGCATGTGTCTTGCTAGATTCATGTTGTGTTAAAAAGAGTGCATACACTAATAAAGACAACATGTTGCAAAAAGGTTTTTGAGAATTTAATAATTTTTCTTTAGACTTAGTGTTATATATTTACAAATCTATTAAAAATTATTATTATTCTATATTAATTTAAATAACTATATTCACTCATTAAATTTTGAATCTTCCTCCGCATTATGTCATTGATGTTTGGAGTATCAAAAAATCGATTTTTTTTCAAGCAAGACAAGGACTTAGCTTAATAAGAAGGCATTAGTTGATTCACCCTTTGGAGATCAAATAGGGATATTAACTGTAGAATTAATGGGGAAATAACCCTAGGAAATATCCAAGAGACATCTTATAATATAAAGTTTTAATTAATGTTAAGTATCATGTTGGACCACTCTCACTAGGCCCTATGTGTTTTAAATTCGTAGGAAAATATTACTAATTAGGTGTTAAACATGTTAAACATGCTAGCTGTCATGTTTCATTAAAAATAGATTCTTTATTTACTTGGTTGTGAATTGTGATTGGATCTTAATACAGTGTGATATTTTTTAATCAATCATATTTTGGAAAATTTACTTATTCGACTAAGTTCAACTCACGTTAGTAAAATCACTAAAACACCAATAAAATGTTTTTAATTGTAATAATCTATTCTTTAAATTTCAACTTTTCGTTGAAAATGAATGAACCTCAATTTATCTAATATTAACATCACACTCCTAAATCTAATAATTTGATTTTGAATATAGAAAATGGTTAAAAAAGAAGTTCCTAGCTCTTACGTATTTAAAATTGTTCAAATTTGTTCTCATTTCACTTATTATACCCTAATTATTTTTAACTTAAATTTCAAACTAAAAATGTCTCTTTCAGCTTCAACAATTCTTAACAAATGAATTTGAATGAATCGGATTATATGTAGGTTGATTTAATATATCTATATTGGCTAATAAATCAATACCACTTATTTAATTAAAATTCCACTTAGATTATCTCGTAATTTTATTAAAAGGGAAAGACATTTTTAACCATAAAGGGCAATTGAAGTCCAATAAGTAGGAGGGGTATTTTTAATCCAAAAATCAACATCAAGTTTATGAAAGATCAATTCTAAATCATTTTTAATATGTTAACAAATTTTTTTTTTATCCTTTTCCGTTCTTAATATTATAACAACTTAAGATATACTAGTAAAGAAAAACTTCATTTTTAATGCAAGAGGGAAAGTTAACAAAGAAAACTTTAAGCTCATATTATTTATGAATTTGAAAATATAAATTAAACTTTGTGAAATCAATTTCTCTTCCTATTATTTCTCAATAGTTCAATAATAGGGCAGTCATTATTAATCATAAGTTCGAATCTTATTTTGAAAAATTCAATAATTTTAAATTATTTAATTCAAAATAAAAATAGTTCTATCTTTCTTTTTGATTTCAGTTGGATAACTCACGGCAACATCTGATTCTTTTAAATTCACCCCTCAAACAGTCTTTCTACCTAAAATAATAATAAAATCGGCATACACTATACACTCGATAAAACTGTTGTTTAGTATTCTATTGTATCGTCCACCAACCCTTCTATTCCAATATAACAAAACTAAGTACATACGACAAAAGCTTTCCAAAATTCTCCCACGCTATAGACTATCATTTTTTTTCCAAATAAAATAAACCTTTCAGTCTTTCAATCACAGTGTCAGCAGAGGACAACTATAAGAACAAAGTTGGTCGATAATCACTATGACATTTTTTGAAATCTTCCCTTTTCTGTCCAAACGCCAATCAGTGAAGCTCAAATTCACTATTTACTGTAATTCATAGAAGATGGATCGTATTGGGCTTACTCAAAACTACCAATCTCACTGTTTCATTCATTCTACTACTTCTTTACACACCCAATTGTCTAAAGTTTCTAACTTTACCCCCAATTTCAAGAACCCCAAAGTCGTTACAGCCTGCATGGCGGCAGCGACGCCGTCGGTGGCACCCACAGCCACAAGCTTTGGGTTCAAGAATTTGATGGAAACAGTGACAATTGATGTTCATAAAGCGGAAGGGAGGCCACTGAATGTGCCACTGATAGCTCCTTTTACTATTGCTTCATCAAGATTGGACAAAGTGGAAAACGTAGCTATAAGGGTTGAGTTGAGTAATGGCTGTGTTGGGTGGGGTGAAGCCCCAATTCTTCCATTTGTGACTGCAGAGGATCAAGCCACTGCCTTAGCAAAAGCGGCTGAAGCCTGTGAGTTCTTGAAGCAGAGCCGTGAAATGACTTTAAATCTCGCATTAACAAAAATTGGCGACGTGCTTCCTGGCCATGATTTTGCTTCTGTGAGTTATGCCAGTAATTTCTTTTGCTTTGTCATTATGGATTCTGTAATAGAAACTCTTTTTTTCTTTTATGTTTACAGTTTAACTCTGTTTTGTGTCAGTTGTGATATTGATAGTGTTTGATTTTGACAAGAGGGGTCGCTCAAATGGTAAATACCCAACACCTCCAATTCTTAGTTTGGGGGTTCGGGTCACCAAGCGAGCAAAAAGGTAGGAGCTCCCGGAGAGAGGGGTAAAAAAGAAAAAGACAATAGTGTTTGATTTCTTCTTGGTTTGGCTTTGGTCCATTTGGGTCTGTGGACTGTGGTCCTCTTTTCTTGTTGAACCTAGTAGGGTACTAATTCGCTTTCCATCTGTTGTATGTTCTATGCAAACTGAAGTTGTTTTAACTGAAAATTTTAGACCTTTTTTTTTTGGCATGACACTTAGATAACACTCAAACTTGGCCTCCTCCAACTTTGGAGTGCACATCTAGACATCTCAACTAGGTCCCACTCATCTTGTGGACACTCCACGTTGATGTGACCCATGAATTTTGGTGGTGTGTAGATGATCATTTTGTAAGTTGGAGCAGGGGTAAATTTACATGTAAAATATGGGGCATGTGAACCATGGTCTCCCCGTAAAACTAATTATTTTATGTAAATATTTTGTAAAATTAGTCTAATATTATCTGTTGGCCCCCCTGCTACAGGAAGGTTAAATGGTGCTGTTGGTTGAATGTTGAGTTATTTACCTTGAGGACTAGGGATCAACTCTCACTTCCTTCTTTTTTTTAGTGGTGCACTCATATTGTAGAAATCCTAGATTCGCCTTTGAGTTGGAGTGTTCAATTGACATAGTGGAGACGAGTTTAGGTGTGCACTTCCACTGTTGGAGTGTTGATTGGAAATTGAGGCCAAGGTTCAGTGTCTATCTATGTTTTATGCTTTTTTTTTTCCCTCTGACAGAGACATTTCTTTAACCTTGATGTTAGTTTGTTGTCTTAAGCAGAATTATGGACTTCTTTTGGCTTCACCATTTTAAGTGTCTCATGGAATTGATTCCTAGGATTGGAACTCAAAGGTCAACATAACATTGGGTGCTATAGGCTTATCTGTTTATGATATTCTCTCTAGGTCTTAGTGAGAGATAAAATTGCTGATAATGGAGTTATTTACTGGAGTACCTTTTTTTAATACGATGGTTATTGAGTGGATTACTGCATTTGTTAGTGTAACAATTCAATGGACCTTTTGTCCAGCTTATCTACATTGGCACATGGCGTCAGAGTTTAGAGGCTAGGATATGGAAGGCATAGAATTCTGACTAGGTGAAACTGGAAAAAGAGAGTGACTTGGGAGACAGTTATCGCTTTGAAGGTCATGCATAACTTGCATGTGTGTTTCTTCCAAGCCTGAGAATTTTATTTATGGACGTTGTTTAACTAATTTTAATGTTACTAGTTTGCATGTTTGGCCATTCTATATTGACCTATATAGTTCTGGGATGGACCATAGATTGTGATACATGTACCAGATTCATTCATCCTTCTTATTAAGTCTCTTTGTCTATATGATGATAACTTCTCTGTTTTGTTGCACACTCAATTGTCCTTCTCGCCTGGTTCTTCTTACTTACCTTCAGTCAGCATCTCTTTTTAGTTTTCGGTAATGTCATGTGCAGAAATCCTTTCTGTGAAGCTAAACTAGTAATCCTTTCTTATGGTGATGGATCTTTTTTAATACATTGGATGAAACATGTACTTGTTTGTTTACAGTAGTCCTGCTGCTGCCTCCAGCTTGGACACTACATTATTCACAGGAATTGACAAGCTACCTTGAGCCCTT